AGACTGGTTTCGAACTCCTGAGCTCAAACAATCCACCCGCCTCGGCCTCCCAGAGAGCTAGGATTACAGGCGTGAGCCACCGTGCCCAGCTGGATCAAGGTTTTTAAATTCCCTGTGTGCCTCCTGGTGGCCTGCATCCCATATTTTGGGAAACAGTGCAAAAAGATAACACACGGCAGGACCAGATGGTGGGCACTCGGAATGACCAAGTATAGGGTTTGGATCTGAATGCAGAGCAAACAGCCCTCGAGAAAGAGAAGCTTGCGTTCAGTGTAACAGTGATGTGCACGATGGATCACAACAGTAATAAACTGGAGCCAGAAAATCTGGCAAAAAGATCTGTTCCAATCAGATGGATTTGTCCTGCATCCCCACTACCTTAAGGTCAACTTGACAGTTTCTAGACAAATACCTGAGAGAAAAAAACATGCAAAGAAAAACATCCTGTCTTGGCCGCTCAATAAGAAGCAATAGGAAAGTAGGCCTTTGCTAAAGTAATCAATGGCTTTTATTTTCAACTCCCAGACTGGATATATCTTTTGTCAAGGCCATTGGGAAGAATGAGGCTGAGAATATGAAAGCTAACTAAGGTCACAAACATTCATTCCCCCAGAAAGTGACACAGAAATGATGAACTCTGGTTTCCTGGCTTTTTCAAGGTTAGTGATGATTTTCCAGCGTGGCCAGCTCTACTCAACTCCCTATATACCCAGGGTTCTTGAGAACCTTTTTACCTTTTCACCTAACACAGAGGCTCCAGAAAGTTTCTGGGTGGGATAGACACATCGCAAACTCTGCTTTTAACCCTTCTCCCAAGAGTTTGCTTCACTTGGCTAGGCCTACAAATGCATACTCCATACCACCTGCAGCCTATGTCAGAAAACAGCTGAGTGCTAAAGTTGTAAGAGACAAAACATTAAGAGGAAAATAAAGCCCTGGATGAGTGGAAATAGGTGACTGAGTTCTGTGGTTAACACAGACCATTGTTCATTGTTAAGAGGATGATCTTCACGTGCTTGCAACTCGCAGTCATCAGATCCCCTCATCTCCGAGTTACGGTAACTTGAGCAGTGCAGATGATTATCAGTCACCTGTAGACACGATGACTCAATGTGTATGAAACTCAGAAGGGGTAAGCTACAGTAATTGAAAAGCCAACAGCTCACGTTTCTTTAGTAACACACTCATAAAAAAGGTTAGTCAAACCACAAGAATGTAACTGCTTCCAAACCTGCACAGAGCATCTGGTCCAGCTTCTAGTCAAAATCACACCACACCTTTGAATGATTCATGATACCAGCTTCAGGCTGAATTAGAGGTTTTCTTCCAATGAAAATACGAATGGCAACAACAAGTCCTAAGTTTAGAAACCAAGGCTGCCTGGATGGGCCATTCCCTACCTGTGATTCTTTTTAAAGGTGTCAATCTCTAATATCTAGGATTTGGTAACTCTAAACTGAGCACCTGCCTTCCCTGGATTGATGCAATGTGGTAAGGGCATATGGTTGTTGGCTTCTAACTGCCAACGTGGAAGCAAAGAATCACAGAATCACAGGCTAGAGCTAAAACGCCCCTTCACTGAGCATGGACATCCAGACCTCTGTCTTCAGGTTCAAGGATCAAGACCAACCACCCTAATCACCCTAATCTGTTTCCTTCTAGTCTTTAGACTTCACAGTGCCTAGCACTGTGCCTTATACCTAATAATACTAATAACAGTAGCTACTATTTATTGAGCACCTACTGTATACACAGTGCCATCCTAATACTTTGCATCTTGTCTCATTTTATTAGTCCCTTAGGGGCTGATACTTTTTGAGGTATGAATTACCCTCTCTTTAGTCAAGACTAAAGCACAAACAGGCTGATTTCACTTTCCAAGGTTGCCCAGGTGGTGAATGGAGAACCAGAATGCAACCCAGGAGCCCACATATCTCAGTACATATTTGAGCGTTAACTGCTGTTTCCTGGCTGCTCCCTTGCCTGTGGCTGCTAGCTGCACACCCCGCCACCAGCAGTGACTTCGGATTCTGTGCTGGGGTGGTTCCCATAAGCAGTGCAAAAGGGGGCTTAGTGACAGCAACCAGACCAGCACATGCATTCGAGAAGTATAGGATACACAGAGTTGTCGTGATGTCTATAAAGTGCTTAACAGCGTGCTGGGCGTATGTAAGTATTCAACAAGTGGTAGATCTATTATTAATATTATTATTATTTGCTTAGCACCATGTTAGGTGCTTTGAAGAACACAAATATAATTGTAATCCAATAGAGATGCAGCATTTACACCATTTCATTACAAATCAGTATCTTAATGCTCTATGGCAGAACAAAGTATAGAGTAGCCAAGAGAGTAGGAGAGAAAATCATGGACCTCTTCTCACGTATGCCACACATAACACGGGGCAGATATTAACCTATGTTTTTTTTTTTTTTTAAAGTTTCCTTGTAACCAGAGGTGGTGGTAGGACAGTGGTAGAGATGGTCATACCTATGACAAGAGGCAGACTATTAA